CGCGAATGCATTCGGGACACGTAGTGGCGTAACGGTTGCGACGCAGTGCTCTAAACATACGGGTCACGATAGCGCAGTTAACTTGTATACCCGCCGAGTCCATTTCGTGATACGTACACACCGAAATTAGCCGTTATTTCGACGGTAACGGGGAAACGGGGAAATATTTATCGAAAATGAGGAAGATGGCCGACTCGTCCTAAAATAAAGAAAGAAACTCGACCAACTTCGTTCCTCGATGAATTTTTGAAAACAATAAGGAAAGGTAATCTCGAGGCAGGTACGAATTATCATTCATAATTTTTAAGATCCAAGATAAAAAAAAAAAACCTTCTTGAGTTGACATTTTCATCCCATCAAAGAGAAAGAAAAATCCGAATCGTTCGTATTTGGCCGGCTGAATTCGTGGAAATGAAAATGGTAATACGCGTAATATTATAGAAAAAAAAAAAGAAACTCGATCAACTTTCTCGATGAATTTTTGAAAACAATAAGAAAAGAATAATCTCGAGGCAAGTACGAATTATCATTCATAATTTTCAAGATCCAAGATGAAAGTTCTTTCTTTCTTTTTTCTTGGTTGGCATTTTGAACCCGTTTAAAGAGAAAGAAAAATCCGAATCGTTCGTATTTGCCCCGAATTGAATTGGTGGAAATGGTACGCGTAATATTATGGACGATTTATCGCGTGATCCAGATGCAAATTATCGTCTTCCAAGGATCGGTCCACGGTGCGCTTAATCAGCTCGAGCACGATGGCATCGTAAAGAGGCACTCCGGCCCGGCTATTAACCCCCACCGAGAGAAATTCCCAAGGTGGCTGTCACAATTAGCTTAAGCAACTTCTAAGCGGCACAATGACCGTCGTCGTCGTCGTCGTGAAGGGGAGTTCCTCGCGTATTTCCCTCACGTACCTTCCTCCCCCTCTTCCGTTCCAGCTCCAGCACCCCGGATGTTGCACTCGCGGAGGAATCTTGCAACAAGGAGCGTAAAATCGAGACGCTGGAAGGATGATGGAAACGTCGAAGGATTATCCTTCATCCTTTTCCGCTTCCTTGTTCGATTCGCGCGGCACAATCTTGAGAAAAAGGGAATATTTGTGACTAATAATAATAATAAGAAGAAGAAGAAGAAGAATTAATAATGAATTCGAAAACAATTTAAATTTCACAGATATTTGTGCGACGAAGGGAACGAAAAGCCTTGTGAAGGTAAAAAAGAAGAAAAGGTTATAAATTCGACTCGATTCGAGGATTTTTCAACAAGCGATCCGAATATAAAGGGAAACGTTGCATTTTGGAAGAAAAATATTCAATCGTTTCACCACCAACGTCTCTCAAGGCGGTTCACCCCTGTTTATCATCCCCCCCTTGTTCCATATCCTCTTGTATGTTGCTACTCTTAAATAATTAAACTCGAACGCTGGCCCATTTTCGTCGAAGAGGAAACTGGGAGAAGAAAGTTTCTCCGTTTCAGGTATCAGGTTTGAATAATTCAAACAGGGGGGAGGGGGATGGGATTCGAAGGGAGGAACACCGTGAAAATTGCACCGAGTGATTTATGTTTCCACGGAGGAGGAGTCATGGGGAAAAATGTTTTTCAGAAAAGAAAAGGAAAGAGAGAGAGAGAGAGAGAGAGAGAGTTGCATTTTGTTGGCGAAGCGCAACTGGTTTGATAAAGTGGAACGTGATAAGTTACATTGTCTCTCGGATATCGGTGTAGCGTTTGAACGATTGGAACGTGACGATAAATCGTGGAGGAGGAAGTATGGAAATTTGGCAAACTTGAGGATATACTCGAATTTGCATGTAATGCAATCTTGTCTTTGGAAAGAAGAATTACGAGAGGGGGGGGGGGAGTGAATTGGTTGAATTTTTATGAGTTGTTTTAAGATTCGTTCCATAATACACATTTCGAAGAAAAAGAAAAGAAATGACGAGATCCTGGGAAAATTAAACAATCTGTTATAGTCAAATATTAAATATAACACGTATATGAATCTTCAATATTTTTCCTGCATATTGTTCGTACATATTCGTCACGTTATTGCATTCCTATGTAGATTCATATATGAAATAAACAAGCGTTGGAAAACTTTTATTACACGTACGAGTACGAGACAGATCGACGAGTAAAATTACCAATCGAAATTATCGCGTGTATTCTTAACCCCCTTCGTCACGAGTATTCATTTTGCGTATTCGTTTCAATAAATTCATAACACGAGACTAAAAAAAAAAAAAAAAAAAAGGAAATATTCAAATTAACAACATAACAAAAAATAAGATAATTCGTATCTTCTCTCGTTTATTAAAGATATAACATAATCGTAATCAATTTTAATTTTAATTCTTCTACATAGATTATGTCACGACAAATTAATTTTCTTTCAAATAATAAAACACAGGTGTACATATATATTTATATTTACATGTCGAGATGTTATTCGTCGATAAATCTCATCCGGTTGACGAAACAATGCGGAAACGGAAGACACGCGCGGCACAATACGACGTGTCAGAGCGTGGCCAGTGTTAAAAGCAACCAGATTACACGGGTCTTGCGTTGTTCTCCCCTGTTTCCCTTTCGACCGATTTATGCGAACGCGAGACGACCGACCATTCCGCCCCTGTGGAACACACAGAGATGTTATTACTTGGCTCGGCCATCGCTGCCCGTGCGCCTCCGTGTTGCGTAATTCAGCAACAAGTGGCAACTTTCCTCCCCGCTTTTATTAGGCCGTCATCGAAGGGATGGCTCGTCCGACCATACGCGCGCTTGTACCACTCCGATACAGGGGATGAGCCGTGGTCGATGAGCTTTTGTTGTATCACGGGATGTTGTATGCCTGTTGTGAAGAGGAATCGCTTCGAGAATTTTTGAGATTCGTGTTTTTGCGCAAACGTGTGTCTAATCTCCGATAATTTCTCTCTTCGTTATTTTGGAATAAATTATCGGCAATAACGATAACGACTCTTCTCAAGGAGAAATAATTTCTTTCTTGGAGTTCAAACGATTGCCTTCGACATCCCCCTCCCTCCCTCCCTCGTTTTATTCCAAATTTTTCTAAATTCGATCTCGAACAAGGGAAGGGAAACTTGGTGAAAGATCTTATTTTTTTTTTTTTTTTTTCCTCCACGATGCATCTGATTCCTCGAACTATATTTATTCCGTTCGAGGGAACGGAAGTCTGAATACCAACCTGATTCGATAGGAAGATTTATACGCGCGATGATGCGGTGAATCCCCGTAATTCTCCCTCCGAGAACTTCTGTGCTCAACCTCGTTGCAATAAGTTACACCGATCCGCAATTTAAGATGTCGCGAATATTTATAACTTTCTCTGCCTCGATCTTGATCGACGATAAGACGTTATCGAACGAATTTATCGATGTCGGCCCATCCATCACCTCGCCGTTGTTTTTCAAAAATCCACGGTATTCTTGGCCCTCGTGCCACGAAACTTTGCCAAACGACTTTTCCTTCCCTCGTTTCGTTGTGTTTCGTAAAAGACAATTGTTCGTGAAAAATGGAAAGATTCTCTGATGAAGAATTAAAATATTGAAGAATGTTCAAATTATTGAAAATAATAAATTCTCTCGCAAGAAGATGTTTCCGTTGGTTTTCAACACCGTTCGTGGTATCATCTTGTGATTATATTTTAAAATCGAGCATCGATTGACCATCGAAGAAGAAAAAGTTGTGAATATAAGTACAAAATATTTATTATACGGTGTATTGTTGCTAGTCTATTTCTTCAATCCCCAATAAACTTTCATTCTTATATCCGTCCGTTCGAATCCGTTGGGAGAATCTTAAGTTTCTTCGATGAAAGTTTGAAAGTTGTGTGCAGGAAGAGGTGTAAGCGTAAGAAGACGCATTGAAATATTTAAATACTAGCGCGCCATTAACGGTGAATTCATTCTCTTGGATTTCTTTCTCGGTGATTATCGTGAAAGTGTTGGATCGCAGATAGAGTTTCAGGATCCTTCTCCATCTCCATTTCCTTCCTCCAATTTTCAAACGTATTGTACTGTATTCGCTTGTGTTTGATACTTTCCTTAATTAAAAATTCAAAATTAATTTATCAAAAGAGAAAAACGAACAAAGATCAAAACAAAGTTTTTTCTTCCTCTCTTCTTGTTGAAGCGTCTCGAAAGAATTACTCGAAGAAGTTAAACTTATCTCGAGAAATTTCTTCCTCGAAAAGGAAAGAAAATAAGGAGGATAATAAAAATGTACATTGGCTGAAAATACGTCGTTTCTAAGCCGTGATTGGCGCGCGTGCACGCGTGACAACGCACGAGATGTATCGTGCAGCACGCAATCGCTTGTACGTAAGTGCGTTTAATTAAAACGGGGTCACGAACTAAGTTAAAACGATTCCATTCCTCTCTGTTTTCTCTTTGTTTTCTCTATTTCATTTATTTATTTTTCTTTTTTTTTTTTCTTTTTTTCTCGTCGTGGTGGTCGCGACAATCTGGTTCGAACGAACGTAACGAGATACCTATATTTACGATAGCTTTCTCTTTGTTTCTTTTATTTATTTTTATCTGTAGATATATCGCTGGATGTTCAGAGGGTAAAGTGAAAAATCGGTAGTTTTTTTTGAAAAGATGTTCTGTTGAAAATGGAAAAATAAACCGCGAATGAATGAATTGCGAAAGATGATTTATATTGATTGGTTTTAATATCGCGATAATTAGTAGATTTGAGTGATCTTTTATTCGTCGGAATTTGGATTTTAAATCATAGATGCAAATACAAGGCTGTCCTAATGAATCGATATTAAAAGAAAATATAGCCCATCTTCTCTGGAAATTGGTCTATAATCGGTCAAAAAGGTTTTAAAATTTCTTTCAAACTCGAATCGACGGTGACAGGGACAGATATTTCGAGATAAATTGAAAATTATTATATCGAAAACTCCTGATTAGTCTTCTTTCTTTCATTCTCTTTTTAGAAATTCTCTGACCAATGTACGCTCGTTTCTGTTCCAGTATGCGGCGACATTCACGGACAGTTCTACGACCTGATGAAGTTATTCGAAGTGGGCGGATCACCCTCAACGACAAAGTATCTCTTCCTCGGCGATTATGTAGACAGGGGTTATTTCAGTATCGAGGTGAGTTTGAAAATTCATTGTTCACCCTAACTTCTTCTCTTAAACGCGTTTAATCGAAATTAATCGGAGAAATTAAAAAATTCTCGAAATATATTAATATATATCCGTTTAGAAACAATCTTAATCTTATATATAATTTTTCGAAATTTATATCAAAAGGAGAACGAAAATTCGCCTTTCTATCGTTACGATGGAGGTGACTCGCATCGACGAGGGAATTTCCCTCCCTTTCCATGGACTTTCTAATTAACGATCCGCTCGGTTAATTGCCGGTTAATACGCCGCTCGAGTCGAACGATAAAGAATCCCGTGGGATCTTCCTCGAGATTTCCATTCCTCGATTCGATTTTCCGCGCGCGGTTTTTATCGCTCTCGAAGCGCGCGTTTCGTGTTTTATCATCGTTTCGAATGTAGAAAAGTAGTTTTCGTTATAAAGATCAATTTCACCGTGAAAAAAAGAAAAAAAAGAAGAGAGAGAGAGGGAGGGAGATGATCCTCGTTTTCATGATAAATATTCCTTCGTTTATTCGTCCTTCCTGAAATCGAGAATTGATTTAATTGATAATAAGAAATACAGGAAGGAAGTAATTAAGAGATATACACGTGTTTGTCGTGCGATTCCTTTCTCTCTGTGAAATATGAAATGTGGTCGTTAAGTGGAAGAAATTAGTAGTTAATTAGAATGGAAAGAGAATTACTTAGAGTAGTACCGCTAGCTAATTAGAACCCAGTTTACGTGTGCTTCTTTAGCTGCCGGATCGTCTTGTAAATTTTTTTTATTCAATTAGTAACTCGTTACGTGTCATGGGCGAGAATTTTTATTGAATTTTGAGTTTCTTCTTCTTTGTATCAATATACATCGTAATTCAGTCCCAGTCTTTCTTTTATGCTTACTGGATAACCTCGTTTTTATTCAACGTTTTATTTAAAACGGAGCGAAATTGAACGCATTAGTATATTTATAAAATACAATAATATAAAATCAAATCTGTTGAAAACTTTTCGAGGATTTGAATTGTACAGTTGCTTCAACGCCATCAGTCTTGCTCTCGAGTGTCAAACCAATCTAAATCCAATGTTTCTAAACCTGTAAATGCCACGAAATGAAGTGATACGTCTTCGTCACTGTCGCTGTTTCATTAATGAATTTCATCCTACACGAGAGAGATAAACACCACACGTAATGGGAAACGTTAGAACACGATGGAATCTTGGAAAGTTGGTGAAGTGAAGTAAATCATCGTCGATTCCAAATATTTTTATCCCTTCAAATTATATTCGATCAAATTAAACCATGAAGTAAGGATTAAAGATCACTTCATCCTCCACTTCATCCTCTTCTTCGATAAATATCGTTCGAAAAAAAATCGTACGACAATCCATAATAAAAAATAACGGATTAAAGGAATATCCTCCTCGCGATGAGAATTGAAAAATCCATGAGGCAGTTTACCACCTCCGTTTTATTAAAAGCATTCCTTGGACAACGCGAGCATCTGCACACGCGACGAATAAGGACGCAACGAACCTCCTCCTCCTCCGTGGAGATCGATACTCTCTATCCGCAATATGCTTCGTTGGATTCCCTGGAGAGAGAAGGAAGGGGAAAAGATCCTTCAGATCCTCTTTTACCGCGCGATATACACGATTTTCGTTTTTTTAAGAGGAAAAGGACGAAGGAAGAGAGAGAGAGAGAGAGAGAATAAGGGAGAGGAGAAGATATTATTAGCGGCAACGGAGGGTGTTGTCGAAGAAGTGATTCGAGCGATGATGGAGGAAGAGGAAAACGCGTGTAAGGGAATATTTAACGGTGATGGAGAGGATAAATGAGGAAGCAGAGCGCGTAAGGAGTGTGTAAGTGGGTTAAGAGTGTGCGGAGGAAAGGATATAATAATATTAGGGGAGGGAGTGAAAAGAGAGTTGATCATTGAGAAGCGAAGAGGGATTGATTATTCGATTGAGAAAGGAAACAAATAGAATTGAAGGGAAGAAGAAATGGAAAATGATAGACAAGCTGTTGGAGAAAGTTGATTGAAGATGAAGAGGGAAGTAGGAAAGGTGGAATTATTCTGGTTATTTACATTTGACCAGATAAAGATATTCTTTCTTTCCTTTCTTGTGAAAAGTAGTAACAAGTTTGGGCTTCTTGTAAAATTTTAAATATCGTTCCTTCACTTTGAACGAAACTATTTTGATTGGCTGTATTTTCGAACAATAAAAAAATTACTTGGATACGTGGATATGGCAAAAGCAGGATCCAGATCCAGAAGCCATGTCATGTCATTTTAACGATCGAGGATTCGACTCTATGATAAACGAGAATGATTTCGATCGAGTTTCCAACATTAGCCGGATAGAGTTAGAGTTTGATTTCTGGAATTTAGGAGGAGCTTGCAAGACGGATTCTGCTTCATCTCGTGTCAAGTAGAATTTAAATCATCACGGATTCAAACACGGGTTTAGATTCCCCTTTACCTGTACCAGGATCAGGGGAGATTCTTCAAAACAGATCGAACGATTAAATAAATTATGGATTTTTTATAAAATGTAAAGCTTGTAATAGTAATTTTCAAGGAATCGAAGGAAGTCGCGTTACAGAGAAATGATAAAGAAGAAAACGGAGGAAGGAGAGGGGGGAACAAGTTAGAGGAAAATTGGACTCGGTTAAAGCGGAAACAAAAAGGGTCGGTTGGTGAAGAGGAAGCTGAAGCGAGCCCCTGAAGCGATCCTGGAGGGGGAGGAGGAAAAGTGAGCAAGAATAGGGAACGAATCGAGCAAAAGATGGTTATGACACATGGAGAGGAAAAAACCAGGGGAAGGAAAATAAATTGGAGGATTCTGTGAAGGATCAATCCTTTGACCCTCTTATCGTCGATATCGTTTAGTGGATTTCTTTCGTGTGTTCTATCCTCGGCAAGTGGTACTTATTTCGAAGTAAGACAAAAACGTATCGAGGAGATACACTACCGGCTAAAAGTTCGGGAGAGACGTCCTTTTACAATTAAATTTATCGCGCGACAAATGCAATCGAATATTCTCTCTCGTTTCGCTTTTTTTTATCCATTAAAGCAGAGACCCGCCATCATAAAATTCAAAACGTTCTCGAACGAATCCATCTTTTGATTCTCTCTCTTTTACATTCCAAGCGTAATATTTTAACGAAATACGAAATTTTTTTGGTTGACGGTGTATATCTATTTTACTTTCCTTCTCGGGCCAATGTTCAGCCAATGTTGGTCGATGATCCTTCTCCAGGTGGAGATTGGGAGAGCATAAATGCCAGTTTATGGGAATTGGTCTCTCGATTGCTCGAGTATTTGTATGTGTCACTTTTCTGGGTCACCACGATCGATCACGAATAATCCTTTTCGCTTAAGGATCGCTTCCCTTTTATTCGTATTATTTACCTTAAAAGAATAGGAGGGAATAGAGATACTTCTACATTTTTCCTTATCAAAAAATTGTAAGAGAAAAGAAACCGACATTGCCTTCCTTCAAAGCACGACGAATTATCACCAAGAATGCAATTATCGTCAGATGCTTCTTTGCTGATTTTCTTCGTTCGAGGGTGGAAAGAAAATTGAATTCACCCGAGTTAAAAGTTGGTTTTTTTTTTTTTTTCGGAAATTAACGGAATAATCGTTCGCGCGCCGTTTCATCTTTCGCGAAACTCAGAGAAGGCATCTCTGACGGAAGAGGATTTCCCGCTTTTCCGCGAGAAGAAAGAACGAAGGGCGAAGGTTGTTCAGAATCTTCACAGGCGAAATAATGAAGGTGGATGCCGTTGGGTCTGCGAGATAATTTTACGGCGTGCAAACTGCGGGACAATGGTCGGATAAATGATTTCGTTGCGATAGAACGGCGCTTAATTATAAGGAGGGCGGGGGTGGAAAAAGGGAGTATCGCTCGAACGAGTTCGCAAAGGGACAGCCTTGGAAGGACTTGGCGCACAAAAGAGCCAAGGCGAGGTAGACAGTCGAATGAATTAACAAAGTGGAATTAATTGATTCGAAAGGCTGTCCGTCGAGGCTGTGATGGAATTTTCGGTTTTAAGGAAATTGCGATTCCTCCGTGCCAAAAATCATTGTAATTTCGGGTACGGTACGGAAAAATGTAACGCTCGAGAAATGTTCGCTCGCGCGAGTTCTTCTATTCAGATACGAACGGTCGATTTACATTTGCTCGAATACGAGGATATTTATTGTCGGTATCTTGTTCAAATTATAATTAATTAATTATAAAATGCGATAAAATTAAGTAAATTCGAGCGTGTGTATATATTTTACTTAGGCGACAATCGTAGCTATCGAGCAAAATCACGAATGAAATTTCGATTTTTCGTGGGAGGAAAATGTGGGGGGAAAAAGTTAAAAATTTTGGCACGAAAGCACACTCGGGAAGTAGAGGGAGACGTGCCATTAAAGTCCTTTTTTGTTTTATCCCGATATCTCGATTGGTTGCCAAGATATAAGGACTCGAAGTATGCTTAAGACGGTGTGCGAGAGATTATGAATGGGCCCGTTACCCAGTGACCTACATCTTTTCTTGGAAACGCCGTACTACGTCCTTCCAAGAATCGTATACCTACTTTTTTCCAGGAATCGCGTCTACTCGCTTGTCTTCGGGATAGGTCAGTGAGACGAGGTGCGAGCGAAAGGTCCGCGACAAGGACGAAGATAATGACGAAAAATTACCTTTTTCTTCACACGACGATATCTCGGGAACCGGAAGTCGTATCGAGATAAATGAAAATGCGTTTTAAAGGGAAGGATCCGCGCTTCCGTTGATCGCTCACTCGTTGACCGGAAGTCGTTATCTTCCGAGTTACAGCGATTCAAAGTTTCGGTGATTTTAATAGGATTCAATCGGGTTTAAGGTAAAGGACTAAAAATTACGTTTTCTTTACGCGATGATATCTCGGGAACCGGAAGTCGTATCGAGATAAATGAAAAAGCGTTTTGAAGAGTAAGGATCCGCGCCTCTGATGATCGTTACTCGTTGACCGGAAGTCGTTATTTTCCGAGTTACAGCAATTCAAAGTTTCGGTGATTTTAATAGGATTCAATCGTGTTTAAGGTAAAGGACTAAAAATTACGTTTTCTTTACGCGATGATATCTCGGGAACCGGAAGTCGTATCGAGATAAATGAAAATGCGTTTTAAAGGGAAAGGATCCGCGCTTCCGTTGATCGCTCACTCGTTGACCGGAAGTCGTTATCTTCCGAGTTACAGCGATTCAAAGTTTTTCTAATAGCGTCTTCAATCAAATTTTAAATTGTGCCATAAATATGATTATCTTTGAAAGGATATTAGGATATTATTAATGGTGCATTAAAGATAATTGATTTGAAAATATACATTATAATTCTTTTTTCCAACAAGCTTCTTATTTTCACAATTCAAGGTAAAGGACTAAAAATTACGTTTTCTTTACGCGATGATATCTCGGGAACCGGAAGTCGTATCGAGATAAATGAAAAAGCGTTTTGAAGAGTAAGGATCCGCGCCTCTGATGATCGTTACTCGTTGACCGGAAGTCGTTATTTTCCGAGTTACAGCAATTCAAAGTTTCGGTGATTTTAATAGGATTCAATCGTGTTTAAGGTAAAGGACTAAAAATTACGTTTTCTTTACGCGATGATATCTCGGGAACCGGAAGTCGTATCGAGATAAATGAAAAAGCGTTTTGAAGGGCGAGGATCCGCGCCTCTGATGATCGTTACTCGTTGACCGGAAGTCGTTATCTTCCGAGTTACAGCGATTCAAAGTTTTTCTAATAGCGTCTTCAATCAAATTTTAAATTGTGCCATAAATATGATTATCTTTGAAAAGATATTAGGATATTATTAATGGTGCATTAAAGATAATTGATTTGAAAATATACATTATAATTCTTTTTTCCAACAAGCTTCTTATTTTCACAATTCATATTTTATAATTGAACGATTTTAGTTTTACATCTCAATTTGCAATTCTGCCAGAGATCTTGCAAGTCTTTGTCTTGGAGAGCAACGATTTAAGAAATTAACGTCGGAGATCTTTACAAATTGCAATTCGACTAGACTAAGATCCGAATAAAACGAAGCAAGTGTCGACAAAGATAGGAAAATCTGGCACGATGACTAACGCATTCACGATACGAACGACGTTGTTTGGATCAGTGACACGATGCACGATCGTTTGCCAACGTTATATAAATCAGACTCACAGTTAAATGATGTTTTGTCACGTATTCCAAACAAGTTCGTCGAGTTTTCTCGCGTGCAAAAATATCACCATTCCATTATATCTAAAACGATCCATTGTTCTCGCAGATTTTCTCGCCAATCTTCATTTCTCTTCTCAAAATTCCCTCGAACTTTTGAAAATTATTCGAAATTAACCATTCCCCGACGAGATTCTTTGACTACGTGTCGTAAGAAACCGTGACACGTGTCCAAAGATAAATTAACAAATTCTCAGATAGATAGGTGTCGTTTCCTACCTGATTTTATGACGAAGAAAATTCCTAATTCTTATTTACAATTAATTTGAATTCATAATATAAAAGCAAGGATTAAAATTTCGAAGTTTCGAAAAGAAAATTGTCTTTTGTCTACACAAAAATCTAAAACTTTCTTTCTTTCTTCTGTTAACAAATACCGAAAAAAGAAAAAAATAACAAACGTTCTCCATTCCATTCGTAAAACGAATATTATTCCCAACTCTGCAAACATTAGAGAGTTAAACCGGTCGAATTGGAGCTCGGAATTGATACAGGTTATTACCGACCGGTGTTTGCGAAATAGACCATGATGCCTGGTAATAAAATGAAAATGGATTTCACAGCAGCGGCCGATGATAACGCGTAACAGAGGGCGGGATAACGGCGACGAGGAGGGCACAAACGCGAGCATCGATCATTTTCCGAATTTCTATTAATCAACTCTTCCGATCGGCTCCGAGTAATTAACCAGTTACACTCCCTCCGTAAACGAAAACAAAGGGCGCGTGTCCGTTCACAACGATTCGGCCAATTGTTCTCGTTATTGTTGTTAAATACACGCCCTCGAAATGGACCGATACTTGGAGACGAATAATTCACCATCGATTCCTCGCGTGATACTAATTTTATTTCTCGTACGCCGATTCATCCTTGGATTTTTAACGCGAATTTTCATTTTCATCTCAACGTTGCCCTCGAAAAACAAAATCGAATTCGGGAGGAAACGATTCGAAGAGATTCGATTGCACGGATGGAATCGAAAGAAGAAGAAATCGGCTTCCGATATTCCCGTCACGCGTGGTAATCCCTCGAATCGCCATAATCTCCACGCGACGAGGGGGAAATAAACTGACTCTGGTTGAGTCGTCATCTCGCCGCCCGAATAAAACGAAAATGCGATCCTGTTATTATCGGGCCCCGTCGAACAATCGAGGCGGCGCATGCATTCATGTTCGACACGGAATATGCTCGACGCGTGCATTAATAACCTGTGGATACCCGCATTCGAAACAAACGGTTAACGTTATACACGATGAATAAAACATATACACGCGCGCGCGCACGTACACACGTAGCCATCCTTACGCTTCCCTCGACTCGATATCGATTCGAAACAAACGCGGCCAAGTTTCGACGTGATTGTTTCAACGCGAAGTGTGTTGCACTCGCGCTGTCGATGCGCTTTTATCGCGGGTAAATTGTCCGAAAGAATTTTGGAATCTCGGTTGGGTTTCGACACCCTTTTTTCTTATCCGAGGAATTCGAGTTTCCTAATTTTTCCGGATTATAAATTAATAATTATAATAGGCGGAGGATGAAAATTAAAAATAAAGAAATGGTGATTCGTTTTAGGAAGTTTTATAAAAGTTTTATAAAGAATAATTCGTTGATATTTTCTGGAAAATATGACAATTCGTATTCCATTTTTCATAACACGATTCTCTGATGAAAATTGTGAGATAATAATTTTTCATTATTCGGGTACAACATGTGTATCTCATTGTTAGAATTAAACAAGGAGAGTCTCGATATTTTGAAGCGCGAAACGTTTCGTTTCGTGTTAAAGCAAGTTTACGGCCCATTCTTAGCGAAGCGAACGCATCTTGTTGACTCTTAAGCATAATTCGTGGCAATGAAGCGATATTATTATAATCACGTTCAACTCGTGCGAGGGAAATTAACAACCTCGGAAATATTTTAAGCAATTCGTCGGCCGCTTCGTCGTGAGACGACGAGACGAATTTCACGCCGCTCATTTGCATATTTCATCTCAAGTCCAAACTGAAGCGATGGATATAAAAGAGAAATTGTATATCGGTTTTTTTCTCTTGTATCCTTATCCGAGGAGATGTCGAGTTTTATATGATTAAAAAAAAATCACGTTTTTTTTTGTTTCTGCTTTGTTGCAGTGCGTATTGTACCTGTGGGCACTTAAGCTGTGCCATCCAACCACACTGTTTCTCCTTAGAGGCAATCACGAGTGCCGTCATCTCACGGAATACTTCACATTTAAGCAAGAATGTAAGTAATCTCTCTCTACGAGAATGATTTTTTTCACGGATTTGAGATTTTCGTTGCACGACCGAGATTCGAGAGTTCGAGTTCCCTTGATTTTTCGAGATTTGAAAAGTAATAAATGAATTTTCTCTTTCTTTCTCGCGTATTTTTCGAGAGATCAGATTTCTGATTCTCTGACGCTTGCTCGCACGAGCTTCGATCGATTTCCCTCGATTTCATTTCGAGTTCAAATTTCAACGGAATCGCGCAACGATACGAGAATAAAAATCGAAATAAAAATCAGCATTCAAAGCACAAAAGGATTCCATGTATTACTATTCTATTCTGGATTTTCCGTCCCCTGCCCTTTTGTCGAGACTGGAAGCATTCTTTATTACGATGCTGATTTCCCTGGTTTTCGTTTCAACAAAAGAAAGGATTTAATGAATATCATCCATCATTTTCGATTTAACTTCTTCTTCTTTTACTTAATTTTTTACATTAATCTTCTGCTTCGGTCACCGGATTCAACATTTTCGTCTTCGTTCGTTATTTTTTTTTTTTTTTCTTAGAAAGAAAATATATCTCTTTCGATTTCCCTATTTTTCTATTTTTCATCCATGATCGAACAATTTTGATGTCTTTTTCTTCTTCTTCTTCTTCTTCTTCCTCTTCTTCTCTGTTCATTCATTTCATCCATCCATTCGACGGACGTAAAGATTAATTGTCTTTGTAACGAATGCGTAATAAATGTAACAAACTGCAATCAAATAAATCGTGACTCGTAAGTCTCGTGAAAAATTAATGACGCACGACTAACGCTATTACATGGACGATAAAAAGAAAGTATTTAGTAACTCTCAAAGTTAACAAGCTCGTAATCTGTCAAAGCTGAGAATGATACGTTTAATTCAAAGTTTAATAGAATCTCGAAACTCTTGTTGACGATTAATCGCAAATTGCAAATTTAGACGAGATTCTTTTTTAAAAAAAGAATTCCTCTTTTCGAAATTTCATTTCGAATCATTCGCAAATACATCAATCGTCCATTTCATCGAAGCCAAGTCCATTCACACACTTTGCGGACTCGGTACTTGATAGAAGTTGCATTTTCGATTTGACTTTCGTTCGATTCCAGAAGAGATTTCGTACGTATCGTTGAGAAAAAATTTTCGTTTCCCTGGTCAATCGCAGAACAGGTATTACATCTTAAGAAAAACAGGAGGAAAGCGGGCTCTATTTACTCCTAGTTTCGTAGATAATTTTTATCGATGAACACTGATTACGAATCTCTGATGTCGCGTAACGCGATGCCAAATTACGTATAGCAAAAAGCTTACGTTTCTTTCTACGAGCGTACGATGGTAACTCGACGATCCTTATCGATGCACCATCCAGACAGCGAGTATGTCGATCTATCTATCCTCCCAATCGATAAGAATTCAGATATATTAAGCAACTTTATATCCTAAGATATAAACGTATTATCACATACATGATTCAATAATATTTTCTTTTCAACATCTTTATTCACTTTTTATACACCGATTTTTCTTATGGAATATATATACCTAATGCGAGAAAACATCTCGATCTTCTCATTTGCACATTCAGAGAAAACAATATTTTCTTTTTCAAATGAATCGATATACGCACCTTCGATATAAGATAGATTAGATTATATTTAGAGACGAGAAAGATACTTTAATTACTTTACATCCTGAAATATAAATGTATTATCACATATATGATTCAATAATATTTTCTTGCAACATCTTTATTCACTTTTTATACACCGATTTTTCTTATTGAATATATACCGCCTAATGCGAGAGAACGTCTCGTTTGCACATTCAGAGAAAACAATATTTTCTTTTTCGACGAATCGATATACGCACCCTCGATATAGGATGGATTAGATTATATTCAGAGTATTTTTTTCTCTCATTTCGAATTCGATGGCGATCCGCGTGCGGGGTGTCTGCGTGGCGCAGGCCGCGGAAAACGTGGTATCGATCGTGGAAAATTGTCCGATACTGGGTCAAGCCGCGTGTATTTACAAGGCTCGCGATTTTAACCGTGTCGAGGGGAGAATCGGGTTAAGGTCGAAGACCGATAATCAAAAAAGAAAAAAAAAAAATAAAAAGCGATCTTGGTGGTGGAAGGGAAAATTTCTTTCTTTGGTAGAAGAGAAAATTGTAATTGGATCGGGAAAGTTGCGATTACGCGACTCGATCTTTAATTATTCTTTTTCTTTCCTTCTTCTTCTCTTCCTTCTTCGCGTTCGCGCAATGCGTATATCTCGTGTAATTTCGTTGTTACTCGTGTTGTGAGAGGAAGAAAAATAAAAAAGGAGGAAAAGTTCGATTCTGTGCACGAATTCTACGCGGAAAAAGCACGATGAAAAGGGATTGGGTTGGGGAAACGGTAACAGAGAGGAGCAGCTGACCGGATTGGTCCGTGAAAGGATATCGCGTTAAGCAATTTCCAGAAAACGATCGGGAAAGGGATTTCTCGAGACTTTTCGATCTTTTAGGTGTTCCAGGTAAATGCAATTATTATCGGATCCTTCTGTTTCGTTGCTTGGATATCGTGGATACCTTCGCCTTTGAGGCAGACACGCGAGAAAGTTTTCGTTACGAAGAAAAGATATAAAAAACAATCTGAAAAAGGAAGAAGATGTATCCGGCAAACAAAATCGTATCGCTTTTTCCGTATCGATTGAAAGAAATTTTTAAATCAATAAAAATGTTACGTGTTATTATATATAATAAATGAGTAACTCGCTTGTCTCGAACGAACGAAAACAAATCGTGGCACGACGTATTAATATATTCGTGGAACACGAATAGTTCGAGGAAACGGATTAGAAATGAAAACAAATATACGAATGTTTTCAATTTCGACACTTCGAATATATTAATACCGCGCACAACTAATTCGCCTTTCGAAGAGTTCGCATCGAGACATTTTCGTCTCCGAAAAATTTTATTTAATTAATTATCGATAAAGGAAAAACGATTCGTTTTGAATAAAAAATCGTGCGGGTATTATTTAGAAAATCGCATTATCGAGATGTGAATGGAACCATTGGTGGTAGAGGTATAATAATCGAGACGGTTAATTTCGCATAATTTCGTAACGTCATCCGTTGGCCAACACGGCTGGGGTACACGCTCGTTTCTCCTCGGCCTCTTTCCCGCTCACGCTTCTCTCGTTGTATTAACGAGGGGATCGAGTTCCGTCCCCTTGACTTTCTTTTGATCCCAGTCAGACATAGCGCTCAGACACTCCAGAAAGCTCATTTGCGAGCTTTTGACCCGAATAAATAAGTCAAGAACGAAACGATTTTCAAGTTTCGTCGCGGCGAGTTTTCCACTCCCGCGTTCCAATCGTTCTCCATCCTCTGTATCGAGATCGAAGCACCAAGAGAATCTTGCCGGGATAGATTAGATTATTCGTGGATCGAGAGGAGTTGGAGATAAAGTGATATTTCCTTTTCGAAATCCTCCTCCTGTCCTTCTCGGCCGTGATTGAAGAGAATTTTTTTTTTTTTTTCGATACTTGATACCTGATTTTCAAAATTTTTTCGAAAGTCTGGAGCATATATTATTGGAAAATTTAACGAATCTTATCAAGAAAAACCTTTGAAGAATTGGTTAATTGAAAAATTATTAGGTTATTAGGAATTAGAAAATTTGTTGGTTTTCTTTTTTTTCAAAATTTTCCAAAAGTTCGAATCATTGAGAAATTTGAAATTGTTGTAGCAAACTGACTGCGACTATGTATTTGCCTCGGGAAATATGGAAAAAGGAAGAAAAGTCTATAATAAGAATCGAAGTCGGTAGATTTAGGAAGTTGAAGAGTTTGAGGGAGGAGGACGCTTGAAACTTTGTAACGGATAGTTCTTTTAATGGAGATCTTAGGTTCGATTGTTTCAAAATGTTTAGAAAGCTTGTTTTGGAGAGTAAATAGCAAGGAGAAGAAACGTAATGGAAGTTGTCGATTGAGAGAGAGATCTTCTACCTCATTTTTCCAAGTTTTTTTTTTTTTTTAATCCTCGACATTTAAAAACAAAAAACACGAATTATTCTTTCTCCGAGGAATAAATAACGAGTAAGCACACATTTTTTTTTTTTCAGAAATGCAGCATTCTCTCGCATTTGCAAAATTAAAAATCAACAAAAATTATTATTTCCAAAACGAAACAAAGGGAAAGGTAAAAAGAAAGAAATCTTGGAATCCTTTCCACTCCATGAAACGCTAAGTTCTCCCTTTACTTTTCACTCGAGGCAGCGAAAATTCCTCCAATGGAGGGATTTATTATTCTCCACGGACAGAGGGGTGCGTGCACCCACCATCCTCCGTTCTTTCACGATGTCTTCACGCAACTGGAAACTTGGCCTCCCTTCTTCATTGCTCTCCAGAGCCTTCTCTCCTTTTTTTTTCTTCTTCTTATCTATCCTTCACCCTTTTCTCCCAATCCCCAAGAAAGAATAATCGTGCGCGTTCCATATTCTTTTGCAGCCATCGTGGAACGACAGAGCTCCATTAAAAAAGAGCTGCATGCTTGGAAATCTCTCCCTTTCTTTCGTAAAATAATATCTTTTTCAAAGATATTCTTCGCTTCCTTTTCGACCTTCCTTATGCGAGGAGAAACTCTCTTGATCTTCGAAGTGACCCGTTTCACCGACGATGATGACGATGATGGCGCTTGGAATTTTTAGATTAACAGAGAATACTCCGTTTTATTTTTACATTACCTTCGATAATTTATTATTCTCAGCATAATTTATCGCATTATATCGAGGAACGGTCACTTTATCCTTTGTTGTTTATCTATCTAAAAAAAAAAAAAAAATAGAAAAAAACTGGCTGGCATGGGACACATTCGCGTTGCACAAGCATCTTCTCAAACATTCCATTCATAATAATATTCGAAACGACAGCCAGTCAATCTCAAAAGACAAACTTTACCCACCCACCCCTTTCCCCTTTTCTTTTCTTCCCTATTCACTGTTGCTCGCCGAGTACAAAAAGCGTCCGATGAACAAAACGTGGGGGATACGTCTGTAAAAAAGAAAGAAGAAAAAAAGGAGGGGAGGGGGTGGAAAGCACGTTGAGACAATCGAGCGCGTATCGAGTCGTTGTTTCGACAACGCGTGAATCGTGTTGACGCGTCGTTTCTCTCTGCTTCCAGGTAAAATAAAATACTCGGAGAGGGTGTACGACGCTTGCATGGACGCGTTCGACTGTCTGCCGCTGGCGGCCCTCATGAACCAACAGTTCCTCTGCGTGCACGGTGGACTCTCGCCGGAAATTCACAATCTAGAAGACATACGCAAAGTGAGTACAGAGAGAGTACAGAGTTTCATTGAGATATCATTGTTTTTGAGAGCATCGTCGGACACGAAATGTGGACGGTATTTATATTACAATAACCAGAGATCCGTGTTGCGATTTATATAGAATATTGGTGGAGAAGTTTATATAGCTTTTTTAACGATAATATGTATGATAAAAGTGTATATAGATTTTTAGAAAAGATTTTTTGTTTATTATATCGGTTTGGAAATGGGATAAATTTTTTGGCATCCAGTGATCGGTTCGTACACTTTGGATTAATTAAATTGTATATTTTGTGTTTTACATTCCATTCATCAGTATTATTAAAAATATATTTCGAATTTGATTAAATTAATTTAAATCGTTTCGTTAAAATTTTTCGATAATTGTTGTTAACTTTATAATGTAAAACACAGAAATGACTCTCGAAAGAGATTTATATATATATATATAACATTGGCTCGTTGTTAATTAATTAGTTGAACCGGCCTGAAATTAGTTTCGTAAATTAAGAAGTTTGAAATTAGCATTTCGAGAATATCTCCTCGTGTTTTCTCGCGATTGATTAACAAGCTCCAGTTATTTTCGTCGATTTTAAAATTTCCCCACCATCTTGGAATTTATCAGGTTAGCTTCTCTCTTTTTTTTTTCAAATTTTCAACACTCTAAAACCTTTTCTAACCTTTCAATTTTCTAACGGTTGTCGAGAAATTCCCTTCATTTGACCGATATGGTATGGAAATTTTTCGAGGCGAAATCCGAACGATGAGCGAATTTTCGTAAACGGCTGTCGAGCAAACGAGTGTGTTGTCGGGACCCGGCCTGTGTTGGAAACGCGGCAGGGGGGCCGATGTGCTGCCACCTGCTCTATCGATCGTTCACCTGGACGCAGCGAGCACGCATCAATGCGTGTATACGCATCCTGCATAAAAATTTCCCTCCAGTTTGGGGCAAATTTCTCTCCAAATTTTTCCAGAATAGAGGAGATTTATGGAGAAATTACAGTGTTTTCGATCAAGAGAGCATGAATTTTGGAGATTTCTAAGAATATTTTGCTCGTAGCGAATGGAGAAGAGTTTATCGTGAGAGATATAAAGTTGTGCGATCCAGAGTTATACAGAGTCCCGGTATTTTTACGAGAGGAATTCGAGGAATTCTTAATAAATAATCTGCAGGATTAGGGTGAATTCTAGCGGTTTAAAAATATCCGTAAGGATTTTAGAGCGTTGCGCACACTATTTTAAGCTGTTGTAACGATCTATATTTAACCTTTTGCGAGCCCCTTATACGGAGGGATATTAACGAGCGATAAGATTATAAGAACTTGAATTGGGTTAATACAATGGCAGGATCGATGAATTTGGATCGCGTATAAATTTCCAAAGTAATTAATGCCGACATTTTACGAGTCTGCCGCGAATGAATATTAACGTCAGACGTAACCATAACAAATTAATATTCTATTAACGCTGATGCTCCCTGACACGTTTAATCGTTACGCGATATTGCGCTTTCGAGTGTGTAGAAAACGGAATAATTTCCCTCGGAACATACTCCCTCTACGATTAATCTTGCATGCAATTTTATGTTTTTCCATTTATTGTATCCATATATATATATATACGGGTCGCACTATTACATATCATATTGTTATGATTTAGAATGTTCGTAGGGGGAACAATGCCGATGATACCTTCCGTGAATAACAATAGGATAAAACGTTGAATAAACGTTTGATTCCAATCAAAGTGTCTCATCTCCGTTTAATAAATTTGCAACTGTATCCTCGCTAAATCGGATGAAGGATGTATAAGGAGTGTGACGTGTCAGAATAATTGGATGCGATATTTTGTATATGTTATTTAATTTTTTCTTCTCTCTTTCTCTCTCTCTCTCTCTTATCCTTTTTTCAAGGGTGTTATACGAATAAATTTCACGCGTGGAAAAATTGTCGGCTGTGCACGTTTCGCATTCTCGATTTCCGGCCATTTTTATCCCCAAGAATACTCGTAAAGATGAGGGCTGAATATGAGATTGGACGGGGGTGAAAACGATGGCGAAATCCTGTTTGTACTTGGACGCCGAGGAGGCGACTTTTCCCCTTCGATCGTAACAACGATCAAACACGCGGATTTCGAGGTGAATTTTTCAACCGGATCTCTCGGTTTCCATCCGATTTCGGTATAGTTTCAAACAAACGAAAATCGAAGTTGCTCTGTTGGGGATAAATTTCAGATGGATGATGAATTTAACATTTGTAAAAAATCGGTGGAAAAATTTTCTCGTGTTTTTCGTTAGGCAGAAATCGTGTTCCTCTCGGCGAGAATGGATTCTTGTATAAAAGGATCTAACCTTTGGTTTATCAATTATTTTTAATAAGCGAGCTTTTCAATTTTAACCCGATATTCTCCGAATACAGTGAATATACATCGAGATAAATAAAGCAAAAAACGAAGATTCTGGAACGAGTGAAAGTGACAAATAAATATTGAAAATTACACGAATTTAAATAAATCAATGCTATTGCTTCGAGAACTTTGGAGGAAACGTGGCGATGGATAGAAGAACGTTTCCCCTGATATCCCCTTGATGAGAAGATTGTTAATGGAGTTCAATGACAAGATAGGATTTCGTGGTGAAGCGAATACCTAGTTGCCACCTATTCGATCGATGTTCCATTCAAAACTATCCATTCTCTGCAACATTGGCCTAAGACTGGCTAACCTAATTGGTACGGCTTTGGTAACCGCGGAAGATTGTTCCCTTGTTCCCTTGTGTGCCAAACGTTTCGAAGATTTGCTTGTGGAGATTTAAGCATGCGTGACGAAAGAAACGTTTCGAGTTTTCATTTAAAAAGAATCGATTCACGTAATCGGCAGCATTATTCGCTCAATGATGGAAAAAGTAGAAAAGGACCGGTCAAAGGGGGAGGAATTTTCGACTGTCAAACGGTTGTTGGATGTTGGAAGGGAAACTCGGCCGTTTCGAGACAAGAAATACTAATTGTAAGAAACATCTTTGAATAGGGAATCGTCTCGAGCGAAGAACGGAAGGCAATTAACTCGATTCTTTGTCGGGTGACAAAGGTGGTGGAAAACGATCGACGAGAGAATCGTGTCCTGCTTCTAATATTCATCCACCAGTGCATATCCGCGAATAAATATCCTCGTGAACATCCTTCCACGAATAATTCCACGCGAAGGAATTAATTCCTTCCGTGGGGAGGATATCGTGTTAGCGCGATTATTTAATAACAGAATTTATTAGAAGCGGGAGGAGGTGAATTTAATACGAATTATTGATACCAAATTCAAACAATAAAATGTTAAGTTCGCTCGCTGGGGTTAGTTTGTTGTTGCGACTTGAATATTTTAATACGTTCGATAAATTGTCGATGGATCAATTTTTGATTTTTTTTCCCGTCGGAAATCACCACTCGTGGCCTTGAAACTCCGTTTCCAAGGGATCGCAATTGCAATCGAAGATCGAGAAAATAAATAATCTATCTTGCCTTGAATTTCCTCAAGTTTGGAGAAATGTCGATTGCGATCATAATTTAACCTTTAAACGTTCAAACGTTATATACTTTTTTATTCTAAATTTTAGGCAGAAATCGTAGCTCGATATATTTCGTTGAAATTCTAAGAAAATAGTATCCCTTCAAATATCTCTTTTAGCATCTTCAACAAAATGAATTCCACTCTCTCTCGAATATCTTTCCAAAAATAATTCCATGGAGAGAGAGAGAGAGAGAGAGAGAGAGACTGCCAAGGATCCTACACGATTCTCAAGAACCTGCTGATCCAATGTTTTATTTCCAAGTGATTTTACAGGCGTTAGGTCCGACACATTTGATATGGAAATTGGACGATATCGACGATCCTTTGAGACGAAAGGCCGTAAAATCGTTCGCATATGCTCCTCTCATCCTTCTTGAATTTTCGCCTCTTCTGAAAATTGTTTTCGATGCTGGATCCGTGGTCCCTCCATCCAGAAAAATTGTTTTCTCGGTCGTAAGAACGGAATCGAGGTATTCTCTTGATACTGTTTTTTTCTTTTTAGTGATTTGGATTATTGGATTATTCATCAAGCGGAATTTTTTTTTTTCACCTCTCTTCTATTATCTATTTTTAACTTCTCGTAAATTTATCACACCGATTGATCCATGATCATTAAATAAATCCGCTCTAAATACAGTAATTTCAATTAATTCAAATATATTTTAGCTCCATTCGAAATCTTCACTACGAATTATTGTTCAACGTTTCCTCGATCTTGCTCTACATTTAAAAATATAGAATATATATTATCACCTCGCTTCACCCTTCGTTTTACATTTCGAAAAATTTTCTCTCCAATCTTTCTATCAATCCTCGATACAACCACTCCACCCTCTGCATACAAAGACGCGAATCCATTAAAACACGACGGCCGTTGCCTGCACGATCCAAGAGGCGAGAAAATGCCTCGTGACGCATCGACAGGGCCCTCGGAACAACACCTGGTTCGTTTTATCAACCCGCAGCGCCTGCATTTCGCGCTTTAAATAAACCGAAGCGCTATCGGCTCCCTCCATTAACTTAATCGGCATTGCAGGCTGGCGTAACGCGCTTCTTCTCTCCCTCCCTCCCTCCCTCCTCTCTCTCTCGGCGAAATAACTTGCACGTGTGTTGAAGGGTTGGAAAATCGAGAAATAAGGAATGGACGAAGAAAAAGGAAGGAGAGGGGGATGCGAGTCTTGGGTTTGGTCGACTGATTTCCTCCTGGAACGGAAGTGTTCCAACGGTGTTCCCGTGCTGGTCACGTATGATGGCGAGAGGGAAATAAAAAGGGTACATCCGTTTCCGGCTGTGCACGACCATTCGAGTTTTATATAAGCGTCGTTAAAACTTGGCGCAAGGGAGGAGGAAAGGAAATTCTCTTTTTCTTTTGGAGGAGGGGGCAGGATTGAGGAAAGGAGAAGAAGAAGTATGACGAAGATGAGGAAAAAATTGAAATTT